TCGTCTGCAACGTGCTGGACTTCGATCGCTACCAGCCGGAGGCACTGCAGCAGGTCAGTCAGGTGCTGTCCAGGCATGGCATCGAGTGCTGTGCCAGCGAGGAGGAGCTGCAGGCCATCAGGGGCAAGAAGACCCGGCTGGAGGCCTCCATCAAGCGGCACAGTGGCCTCGGTGTCTCGGGGCCAAAGTTCGGCAAGCTGGATCCCAAGAACGAGCCGCATGTGGGCGGCAACACGTGGGCGGGCGGCAGTGGGGGCGTGACACCGCCGGACTGGGCGGCAAGGGGGGACCCTTCCGGCTGGACAAGGGCCATCAGGTGCACCAGCTCAGCGACGAGGAGAAGGCCGATGTGCCCGAGGAGATCAAGAGGGCGGCCCGCGAAATGAACCGGCGCGCCTTCGAGGAGAAGCTCCGCGAGATCAAGATGTCCGCCCACGACCACAAGCTCTACGCCCAGTTCAGCGAGCCCAATCGCCGGCAGGTGCAGCAGCTGAAGGCCATTCTGGAGGCCATGCAGACCAAGAGCAGGGAGCGCCAGTGGCAGAAGTACCAGACGCACGGCGACCTGGACGACACCCGGCTGGTGGAGGGCATCACCGGCGAGAAGAACATCTACCGGCGGCGCGCGGAGGCCAATCCCTGGGCCGACCACGTTCAGGAGAAGCCCAACCGGCTCAAGCTGGTCGTCGATGTCTCCGGCTCGATGTACAGGTGCGTGTTCCAAACTCTCAGTACAGTACTAAACAAACAAAGGTGATAAGAATAAGCGATAATTTGGCTAGCAAAAATGACTGTCAAAGATTGTTAGATTAGATCATTAACAACTTTTTTTTTTGGTCCCAAAAAGTCATAATTTTTTACCCAAATTAGTAGTATTAAAAGTCACAAAAACAGTAATACAAATGCCAAATTTAGTCAACAAACATATTTGTCAAAGATCGTTGGATTAGGTCAACTCTTTATCAACACTTTTTTTTGGCCAAAGTCGTAATCCTTATTTTTACAAACAGTGTTTAGTTTAATGGTTCAATACCACTTTGAACCTTTTTGCAAAAAATTATCAAATTATCAAAATTTATGCTAAAGCAACAAAAGTATTGTTTGAATAGTGGAATGCCTACCTTGTTGAACTCGTAATGAATTTCGTTTTTTTTTTTGGCTAATTTTCGCAAAAAAAAGCGATGTAACGCCTTATAAAATATTCAGAATTTGGAGAAAAAAAAACAAAAAAAGATTTTTTTCGAGTGATGAAGCTTGTCAGTCTTACAGCTGTGCGTCTTATTTTGGCCGAGTTAAAACAAAAAAACAATAAAAATATTGATTTAATGGTCGTTAAAATATATAAACTTACGTTAAAAATTAAAAAAAAAAAGAAGTAATGTAAGCCCTTTACTTTACATGTACTAACATGCGTGCTCACAGGTTCAATGGCTACGATGGACGGCTGGACCGTCAGCTGGAGGCCGTGGTCATGGTGATGGAGGCCTTCGAGGGCTTCGAGAAGAAGATCGTCTACGACATCGTCGGCCACAGCGGCGAGGGCTGGGAGATTCCGTTCGTGGCGGCGGGCAGTCCGCCGAAGAACGACAAGGAGCGGTTCGAGGCCATCCGGATGATGCACGCGCACTCGCAGTTCTGCTGGTCCGGCGACTCCACGGTGAAGGCGGCCCGCGAGGCCTGCTCCACGCTGGGGGCGGAGCAAGACTACGACAACGCCATCGTGGTGGTGCTCAGCGATGCCAATCTGCAGCGCTACGGCATCGCGCCCAAGGACCTGGCCGTGGCCCTCAAGAGGGGCGAGCCGAAGGTCAAAGGTTATGCCATCTTCATTGGCAGCCTGGCCGAGGAGGCCGATGAGTAAGTACAAAGTACAACACTAAATATCATACTTAGTTCGGAAACAATTGCTAGACTTTTGATATTCAAAGAAATTTACAACACAAAAAAAAAGATAAAATTGGTGACCCCAATTCTTGATGAAATTTGAAGATTCAATTGTGTAGATTCTAATTATTAAAAAATACACGCTTCAGAAAGTTAGTGCCTTTGTAATGCATTTCTCTTCATTTTGAATTTTGAGGCTTTTATTTTAGAAAAAACCTATGATTGGTGACCCCTATTCTTTTCTTACCTTGATAAAATATGAATCTCTTTTTGAACCTATTTTTTTAACTTATTAAAACAAATAAGTTAGTCTTGCCTTCGATATGTATTTTTTTTATTTTTAATTTTTAGCCAATATTTTTTTGTAATAATATTAGTATGTGATTCCAATGTTTTGATAAAATATGAATCTACTTTTGGTTCTATTTAAAGAAATTAGTGCTTAGTTTTGGAAATTTTGTTTTTGAATGGTAGGTGCGTAGGTCGAAATTGGTGACCCCAATCCTTTTAATATCGATTATATGATATTCAAACCTTGAAGTGGGTGACTCTATCTGACATATCCTTCTCCTCTCTTTTCCAGAATCAATGCGGAAATGCCGGCGGGCCAGAGTTTCGTGTGCATGGACCTCACCAAGCTACCTCACATCCTGCAGCAGATCTTCACCTCCTCGCTGCTGTAGTTACTTGTAGTGCAATTGCAGGATACCCAGGAATGGGGTTACAATAGATAGATTAGGTATATGTTGAACCCAGTGTTGATAAGTCCAGTTGTAGTTAAGCCTGAATTGAGTCTATGAATCGAACAATAAATTGTATCGTACTGACGGTAAATCAAGGAAACGTTGTTTACTTTTGCATTTGTATTTTTATTGTTTATTAATTGCCTTGCTGTTTATGCTTGCTATTTGATTACTTGTCATATAATTTACAAATTACATAAGTATTCAATACACAAAAAAAAAACAAAAAAACAATTTCGAACTCGAGGACTTCTCTGGCAGGGATGCTCATACTCTCATTCTGGCGGGGATTACGGGGTATTACAAAAAATAAACGATTCGTCGTGGTTTTACATTAATTAAATTTGGTATAAAAATCTAAAACAATTTCCTTCGTTTTCTTTTCTTCTTCTATTTCTTTTTTTGTTTCTCATGTTACATTTTACATTACACTTTAGTTTTTCTCGATTTTTGTTTCTTTTTTTGTTGTTGTTTGTATATGCATTTCATTATTTATATTAAATATTGTTGCAAATTCATGAATTAATGTGTGTTAGCAAAAAACCCTTAAATATACGTGTGTATAATATATACTCTTGATCCGATAAATAAGGTGTGCGACGTGTATGTGTGTGTGTATATGGGACAGCTGTACTTTCACCATACACACCTTTTTGCAGCTGGAAGTAAATACTCGATTATTTGTAAATTCTCATAAGTATTAGCACTGTTTGTGTGGAAGAAATCGAACTGAAGAGCGAAATGGGGGCTGTCCCATTTCACTTATGTCGCACACCTTACCACATAGTCTATACAAGTTTTGATCCTTGCAAATTCTCATGATCTATGGGATAGCGATTTCGGGATTCGGAATTGGATAGATCGCGCTTACACATGTATAATTCTCGCTTGCTTTCTTCCGATCGATCGATGGATTGAGTGTCGTGTCTATATAGAGCTAACTTTCTTACAGATATTAATGCTAGAAATTTGCAATTTTTTTAATAAACCGAAACGAGGTAAAAAAAAATCGAACCGAAACACATGCCTTCGAATTGATCTAAGAACACACACACACACAACACACACAACACACACACGCACACACAGTTGTTGGTTTGGGGATCCGGTATAAAAGCTAAGTTCACTTAAAAACATAACAACAAAGTTGGGGCCCATATATATTTAGGCAAACAGGCGTACCTCGAACCTTATTACACTTATGTACAGGAAACTCAAAACACATTTTCAATTGGACGACATTCAAGTTACATAAGGGCTCTTCTCTAAAGAAAAAAAAGACAATGCGTTTCGGGGCTGTAAGGGGGGAAGATTTGTTAATCTGTTAATCAAATATCCTGAGTGAGAAATAAAGTGGGTGGCTGAACTAATAGAAGAATGACTTCGAATGAAACCTTGGGGCTCGACTGCTCTACGCTCCCGAAACGCACTGTACTGGGGGGCTACGATTTCGCTGCACTGGACTGGAGGACTGGAGGAATCGGATAAGAGGGAGGTAGTTCTCTTACAAAACGGGTTTCTATTTACAGATTATGATAGTTAAGGAGTTGCCACGCACACGCACACACGCACAACCCGCAGCAAAGATCCCGTCTAAATTCGCCAGCACATTAAGTATAATCTCTGTATTCTAAGCACAAATCGGTTGCTCCGCCGTCTCCCCCTCCACATTGCTGGATCTTATACCTTCGCTTCACCTATAGTATGTACACAAATGAAAAAAGTTCTCTGCACCTGGGCCCTGACGTAGCATATATCCTATATATGTACATTATATATGGCATAAATAGATATAAATTTATAAAGACTAAACATTAAACACACGCACAAGCACAGACGCACACACAGACAAAGACACACAGACACACACATACACACATACACGCACAAAGGCGTACAAATTTTGGCGATTTTCAAGTTGATTGCAAAAGGTTTCCATATATGTGTGTACTATATGTATAATAGATATAGCAGTTTTACCAGTTCAAATACAGTGCGTGGCATTGATTTTTTTGGGGGTTTTACTTTAACATCTCTTTGCTCCTATACCCACGAAACGCACTGTATTTATCCTGCCTGCTCTCTTTCTCAATTTATCTCATATTCTCTTTATCTTCAAATCTATTTGTTTCATATTTTAAAAAAGCATTTAAAATTATAAATTAATTTTCCAAAGTGCCTTAAAATATAATCATAAAAAACAAAGCATAAAAATTACATAATAAAATTACTTAAAATTTAGCAAGAGCTGCAACAGCAGTGCAACTTATATATATATATATATATATATATACACACACATCTGGTGTAAATAGCTCTGGTTAAGATACAACTTTACAAATCGTTTTGGGTACTATAAAAATTTCAATAAAATAAAATAAAAGCATGCTCGTTCTTCTCTCAAAAGAAGGTTGAAAATTTGCGTTTGTTCTGGTTCTGGTTTGGGTTTGGGTTTGTGTTTAGGCTTGGGTTGTTGTGGTTCTGGTGTGGATGTTGGTGGTGATGCTGCTGCTGCTGCTGCTGCGTTTGGAGCTGATGATGATGTTGGTGATGATGCTGATGACTATTGGGTTCTATTCCATTGCTCATCGGCTTGAGGGGCAAAACAGGAACGCAGGCATACGCAGCCGGCTCCAGTTGGGCATTAGCACTACCACTACCACTGGGAGGAACTGGAGCAGCTTGGCCAACTGGTGGGGGCATCAGGAGCACGGGCACCACCACGGGTTATACGGAGATCTCGTAGTTCATGTCGTAGATGCTGGCCCTATCCGGCGTGCCGGAATTGGAGGCGTTGCCCTGGATCAGTTGCCCGCCGCCACCGCCACCTTGCTGATTGTTTGCCATTGCCATTGCCGTTCCGCTCGTGGGTATGCCTCCATTCTGCTGCTGCTGCTGCTCCAGCGACTGCATCTCCATGGAGTCCGTCATCTCCAGGGCGCGCACAAAGCTCATGGGACGCGTGGGCGTCTGCTTTCGCTTTATCTGCGGCGAGGGCTGCGTCTGGTTGGCATTTCCCAGCGGATTGGGCGGAAACACGGCCACTCCGCCACGCAGGGCAGGCTGATAGACCGGATTGCTGCCCGTCACGCTGGCCAAGCTGCCACTGCTGCCAGCTGCTCCCGATCCCGATCCGCCATAGCGCAGAATATAGCCCTGCTGGCCAGCTCCGGACACTTGAGGCATGGTGGTGGGACTCGTCGGATTGGAGCGATGATATGAGGCGGCCTGTTGTTGCTGCTGCTGCTGCTGTTGCTGTTGCTGCTGGATGGCATAGTCCTGGAGTCGCGAGTGCGTCATGATCAGCGGATGGGCTCCGCCGCCCGCCGTCATGTACTGGGCATGCGGCATCACGCCGGCGGACGCTCCGCTGCTGGACAGCGTGCCCGCACTGCTGCCAATCCCGCTGCTGACCACCTGTTGCTGCTGCTGCTGCTGTTGCTGTTGCTGCTGCTGCTGTCCCACTGAGCTAGTGAATCCCGGCGACGTGTCCTTCCACATGTAAACGCCGCGCTGCGGACTGCCCGCCAGCTCACGTATGTTATCCACCGTGTTGTTGGACCGCGCGTACGACAGCTCGCCGCCGCCGGCCACGCCCATGCCGCCCCCGCCGCCGGCCCCCTGGCGCACCAGTTCGCCCTCGGAGAGGAAGCGTCGCTGCGGACTGCCGCCGTAGGCCGCCTGCGCCAGAGCGGCGTGCTGCGGATGCGCCGCATGTACCGCCACCTGCTGCTGCTGTTGTTGCTGTTGCAAAGCTGGAAAAGAGAGAGAGAGAGAGAGAGAGAGAGAGAGAGAGAGAGGTGAGATTAGGCCAACACTCAGTACAAAGCTGGTTGTAAACGATGCAGCAGTTCTGTTTATAAACAGTTTAAGGGGTTATCTTTTTCGCAAAGTCATAGTTTTGAATATTTTCAAGAACTTAATGATTAACTGTTCAAATTTAACATTTTTTAAGACACAATAAAAAACCGGGCCAGGTGTTCTACATATTTTTTCAATTAGAAAACCTACAGAATATGTATACAAAATTTCAAAATACTTGTATAGTCAAATTTTCTGCCTACTAAATTCTTTATTCATTGTGGCTAACTTGCTCAGCATTATGGTAAACTAAAAAACTAAACTTCATTTGGATATTTGAATTAGACCTTCGGTTAAATTGTTTTTTATTCTTTAAGGACAATTTTCTCGACATAATGGAAAGCTTAAAATTGGCCTTAAACTGAAAATTTGAATTTATCCTTTAGTTAAATGCTTTTAATGCCCATTTCCTCGCCATTGTCTTAGGCTTAAGGAGGGGTTATGCTAATTTAACCTTCGCTTATGCGTGCCCACTCACCCTGCTGCTGTTGCTGGTGCTGCATGAGGACGCGCTGCTGCTGGAGGAGCAGTTGCTGCTGCTGCTGCTGGATGCTGGGCGCCTGCGGGTGCTGTGGCGGAAGACCGCTGGTGTACTCGTAGTAGGCCACTGCTGCCGCCGCCGCCGCTGCCTGTTGTTGTTGCTGCTGCTGCTGCGCCACCGCCTGGGCATTCAGCCCTATGAAATCGGGGCGTCTCGGCTGAGTGGGCGTGCCCGGATTAGATCTGTTAAACGGAGAAACGGAGATTAGTTAAGGGACATGTTAAATATTTTGCAAACGATCGCAAAGCATGCTGAGAAGGCGAGCACAAAAGCTGCTGCAAAGTCAACAAAGACTGGATGTTAGAACTTAACTGACGGTTAGTCAACGATAGCGATCGATGAGCGAGAGACAGAGAAAAAGTGTTTGGTTTTCCGATCCGATCTGATGTTAGCGAATTTATGGCCTCAAGACAGGGGTTAAGACAACAAGATTGGTTTAAAACCACGTTTAGTAACCGAGACGAAAAAATTAACCAACTATCAGTTAGGTCGATAAGCGTTTGCCAGTAGAGCTTTAAGGTCAATGTGTTTAGTTACAAATTTAAATAACCTAATAACCTGATTCTTAGCTTTTTTTTGTAGCCTTAAATCCAATGTCTAGTAATCACATTTACCACTTGCCTATAAAGCCATTGATATGTAAGCCTCAACCAAATAAATGGGTTATCGAAGTGGATTGGAACCTCAGCCCAGGGTTAAAGGTCAATAACACAAACGAAAATCAATGTTGTTCTATTTTAATAGACCACCAAGACATGACAAATGACCAGGTAGTAAGTTGTAGGTTTTAAGTAAGATGGTGGATGTGGAAACGATTTAGATCTGTTGAATCCCATTGTTATCCCCTCTGCATAAGGATCATCGGCGTACGGGGACAGCACTTCGTCCGCCCCGCAGTCCCATGGTGATGGTGCCCAGCAGCCCACTGTTCGCCACTCGCTGGACAAACACAACCACTGTGCGCGGCACATCCGATCGCACCACCTGCATCCCCAGATGCAGCATGCTGAGCACACCGTAGAGCAGACCGCCGACGAGGATCAGCGGAGTCAGCAGCAGCTTGGTCTGCACCGAGTACCGCGTGGTGTCCTCCAGGTCGAAGAACTCCCACAGGTTGGCATGGCCGAGGAAGCGTCGGCGCAGCTTCACGGCCCGCATCTTCAGCCAGCTGAAGTACCAGCAGAGCAGAAAGAGCGCCTGCGAGGCCACACAGCCGAGCACCAAGCCGGCCAGGGTGATGTAGTCCATCTTGGAGGGTGTTCCCTCGCCGTAGGCCCTCAGCAGGGATTGGGCCAGCAGCCAGCTTTGCTGAGTGTTTAGGCCGGGCGATGATTGGCTACTCTCCTCCAGCTCCAGCTCCATAGCCATCGGTGGTTGTGGCTGTGGCTTCTGGCGACGCGAATTCTTAAGCTTCATATCCAACTCCTTCGATGGCTGTGGCTTCTGGCGACGCGAATTCTTAAGCTCCTTATCCAGCTCCTTCGCTGGTTGAGGCTTCTGGCGACGCGAATTCTTAAGTAGCTTTGAAACATCCTCCTCCTTTTTCTTCTTGTCTTGTACTTCAGTTTGAAGGGAATAGTTGGAGTTTGGATTGGCAGCTTTGCTAAGATTCAGCCGCTTGGGCCAGGCTCTCTTTTGGCACTCCGATCGATCCCCGCCAGCTGCCTCAGAGTTGCATTTACCAGGAGTAAGTCTCTCCTGGGAACCACCTCCTCCTCCACCACCCGCTCTCAGCCTAGTGAGCTGCACTTGCTGCGGCAACCCCCTCATCTCGTAACGCATGCCATTGAAGCTAAATTGCCGACGAGTGCGCAACTGTGGTGCGGTGGCCACCGAAATGGGCAGCGTTTTGTCCAGCAGGTTCAGGGACCTTTTGTGACAAGGATCTTCACGCTGGGCATTGATCATGTTGGCTTCTTTAAGACTTGGAATTTATCTCTTTCGATTTCCTTGGAAAATCAATTCAATGTTGCCAGGTTTCTACACAGAATAACTTATGATTTTCCTCGATTTTTCTTCATTCGATTTTATGTGTTATCTAACATTATTCTTGTACTCATCGATTGGAAATGGAGCAGTTTACTTGGCAAGTTGAAAAGTAGAGGAACAAAGAAAGAGCCGAATGCCGAAAGAGTAGTACAAAATAGCAAACAACAATTTTTCTGTAATTTTTTTCGTCACTTTTCAGTACGAGTTCCGTCCGAGATGTACAATACCTTTGTGTGTGTGTGACTTATTTTCGACAAATTTGACAGCTCGCTAGCGCCGACCACTGGGATCAATAAATAAATAAATTTCCAACGCTAAGTTTTTTTTTTCAATTTATAAGGTAATTAAAAAAATCATAATTTGTAGAATATATTTAAAATCAACTATCTTTTCTATCAATCGATATAAAGACAAGTTTCTTGTTAAGCTTGTGCCATCAGTAGGAGTTAAACAATTTGCAAGTTAAAAACAGGTGAAAGAGTTCAAGTTAAACTTCATGTTAACCCTATATTCCATCAATCAATGTAAACACAACTTTCTTGTTAGGTATATTTCCTTAACAATTACCTTCTGCTATCAGTAAGAGTTAATAAGGTTAAAAACAAATGAAACTCCAGGTTAACCCTGTGTTAACTTTTTCTCAAAAAGAGTTGAAAGGTGTTCCATCATTAGGTTGAAATGCAGTTCGATATAAGTCAAACGACCCAGAGATGAGAGACAGTCGAAGGATGGAACATGGTCGAATGGAAAAAAGAAAACCTGAACCGCGGGTTAAATGCGCATGAGTGGGGGTTAAGTTAAAGGCGGGACGCAAAACAAAAACGGCAACCAAATGGAACGGAAACGGTGAGAAAGAACAAAATAATGAAAGCGAAACGGAACGGAAAAAAAGAAAGTAAAACTCACCTCGCGCGGCAGAAAGAAAGTAGAAGGTGCTTAGTAGAGGATATACGGAAAACGGTTTTTCGGTTTACAGGGTGCTCTTGCAGAGTGGTTCAAGTGGTTGCCAGTGGTTTAGTGGTTTGGGTGGAGGTTGGAAAAAGAGCGAAGAGTGAAGAACGAGCGGAAGAAAAAGACGGCTGATGTGCGAAACGGAACGAAACGGTTCGGTTTCCGGTTCTGTTAACTTTTTGATCCCCTCTGCATTTCGATATCATTTGTTCCTCTTTTCGTGCATAACTTACACTTTGTATTTCTTATTTATTTTTTTTATTAATTTTTCTCATTCAGCAAACTTATAATGTATTCGTATTATTTATTTTTGTTTCTTGGTTTTTTCTGTTGTTTCTTGTTGGACTTCTTGTTTTCGGTTTTCATTAAGCTAAGCCTAGGAATTAGTACTGTTCTCAGAGTTTGAGTATTGACTACATCGAGACCAAATCAATAGTTTGCAATCAACAAAATAAGGGAAAAGAAAAAATGGGAAAAAATTAATTAATTAGTTTATAAGATGGACAAGGAGCCCAAATCGAAATGAGTGGTAAAACAACCAAATGGATGAGGGGGACGCAGAGGTGCAACAAATATTTACGAGGGGATGGATGTTGAAGCAGGGTTATTGACCCGCAGGGCATCTCTTTCTTATTCGCGCACTATACCATCCCGTTTCTTTTTACTTATCAGGCGGTGGGTGCGAAAGGGAGAGCGATACAGTGAAGTTTCCCTTTCCTAAGATATTAATTCCAGGAAGATATAAATATATATTTCACTTTTTATCATAAATTTAATACAAGTATATTTGTATGCCACGCCTTAAAGAAAACTGCGAAAGGTGGCCAAGTAGCAAGGCAAATAAACAAACAAACTAGCGGTTAAGCCAAAACTTAAGGTTGGTGGCTTACTAAAAACAACGCAACTAAACGCAGCCACTAAGACACATACTCGAAAGTTCGCACACACACACACACAAATCGCTTAACCCCTTAGAACCCATTAGTTTACTAAACTAAGTTTCAAAGTTAAATATTTTCAAAGTTTCTTATTCGAAAAGTGATTTTTAAAAATTTAATAGCTAAAGGTTGTCATCTTAAATTTATCAACTCTAACAATACATATACTTAAATATATAAGAAAAAATAAAATTAAAATCATAGCCGTATATTAAAAAAAGAAATACGAAAAATAGTACTTGTATCAGCAATCTTTTGGCAAAAAAAAGTTAAACCAAATATAAAAATTAAAAAGGGATTTATTACTTATATAATTTTTATTTTTTGTTTTTCGATTTTTTAATCTTTTCTCTTAGATACCAACCGAAAGTAGGCAAATCTTGTATATCATTTGCTTTGCTTATTATTTTGTAGGACTTTTTTATTTAACTAAAAAAAAATTAAAAGTATTGTTTTACTGGCTGGGCTTGGCTTGAAAACCAATTTTAGATATTTAAAAAGCTTCAACAAAGACTGCAAAGGGTTAGGCTATAGAAGCAACAACAACAACAGCGAGCGGGCGGGACAAGTGGGTGGTGGATAGTGGGCGGTGGGTGGTTGGAAGGACCGTGACAACAGCAGAATTGTGGGGAGGAGGGGGCACACTCACCTTCGCACTGGACTCGCCATCACGAGGGGCGTGGCCACGCCCAGCGGCTTGATCCGCTGCTGCATGGTGGGCGTGGCCGTGGTCGTCGCGCTGCGTTGATTTTGTGCTGCCACCGCCGCCGCCGCCGCTGCCGCCGCCAGCGCCTGCTGTTGCTGCTGCTGCGGTCCGTTCACGCCCACTCCATAGCCGACGGGATGGTCCGGCGATAGGGCGTCACTCGTATAGCCCCGCTGCGGATCCAGGCCCCTGGGAAAACAAGACATTCCACGGTCAAAATCGATGGTTGGCTTAAAAGCAATTTAAAGGACCTATCGCTAACTATAACTGCAATCACTGTAGAAAAACGTGTGTTCCTAAACACCATTTCATTTATTCGAAAGGTGGCTGTGAATTCAGATCAAATGCGTGAAAATTAACTCCCAACAAATAAGGTGGCAACGCCGGACTATTGTTTTCTGAATGTTGATTACTTAAATCTGTTTATTAACCACAATTTAACTTCTAAGCTTAACCAATATAATTGTAACTTATTTTCATTAGTAGACCGAACAAAGTCAGCAATCTGTTCTGTTTAACAGGTCGTATACGTAACTAGGCGTATCGCAATGGTTTCGAAAAATTACTCATACGCCACGTAATTTCAATAAGAATAGTTTTCTTTGATCATGGGCAATAGTAAGTAAAAGTTATCGAATAGGTGAACGTAAACATAAAGGAAATGTTCTATTATGCCATTCTCGGCAAGCCAACAACAATAACATAAAGTTTTTTTTTGCATTGCTAATCCAAATGAAATTTGTTGTTGTCCTTTTCTCGACTATACACTCCTATTCGAGTTTATTTTCAATTTTGTTGGTAAATGCACTGCCATTAGGCATTTCTAAGCACCACTGACATAAGTGCACCAAAGCACATGGCATAAGCTTCTAATTTTCCTACAAATTTGGTCCACCCTAATGGGCATATGTGAGGGAAAATTCCCGGAAAATCGAGGGCAATTGAATGCGTCAAATCAGTAAATTACAGGGTGGTCGGTGGGCGGGCGGTCTAATTAACTTCAACTCACCTGGGCCTCGCGTGCGGACTGTGACGCGGATGGTAGAGACGCATGTGGCGGGGGGAATCACCACCCCCACCACCGCCTCCTCCCCCGCCGCCGCCGCCCGTGGAAACGCTGCCATTCAATCCGCCGGCGTCGCTCACCTGCGGCAGATAGAAACTGCTCGAGTTGTGCCGCTGCAGCGGCGGCGTCGGTTCGCAATCCTGACTCTGGGACGCAGGTGGTGGCTCCAAGTCGGTATCGGAGCACTCCCGTCCAGGCGAAAGCTGCGATGGACACACAATGGTTATCGTAGGAGACGTGATTAGTGATCATTTGTCAGGATATACCCAGGTACAGGCGAAAAAGAGATGAGATCGACACAGACTTAGGCCTACATTTAGTTGCAATCATTTCCAAAGAACAAAAAAAATGATATTGGAAACAATTAAAAAATGTAAGTAAACACAGGTTTGGACAGTAGAGAAATAATGGACTGGTTAAAGTTTCATTTTCACACATTGGAATAGGTTTAGGTTTAAAAAATAATAATATTTAAATTTTTTAATATGCATATTTTTAAAACATTTAAATAGAAAAACTGATAGAATTTTTAAAACAGCACTTTCTAACACATTTAAATAGGTTTAGGTTTTAGAAAAAATTTAACAATTTTAAGAGTTAAGATAAGTATAGTTCATAGTACACACTTAATAAAAATTCACACAAATGTAATCTTCAGGGAAAAATTATTCTTCAGGAATGCCACAAGTTTATATCACTGATTAAAAGTCCGCAAAAAGTCAAATAAAATACTCCAGTGATTTAAAATCCCTAGGCAATTAAAATTCCTAGTCATTCTAAAACCCTGAAAAAATATTACTTCAACTATACAGAATTTTAAATTAATTTTATTTTGAATTTAATATCAAACTTCATACTTAAATAAAATTTGCTAGAGAATTGTCATCTTTTTCTCTGATTGCTTTTAAAATCGAAATATGATATTTTAATATGTGAAAATGAAAACCATAACAGAGAGTACGATAGAAATGAAAATAAATGGAACAAAAATGAACCCAAAATAAGGGAACTGAGGTTTTTTTTATTGGGGTGGGTGGGTAAAAGGAGGTCAGTGGTCAGTGGAAAGTGGGGTGAGGGGGAGTTGTGGTTGGGATGTCTCCTCCTTAGCTAATTAATTGTAGTTTAACGCATACTGTGTCCCAAAGGGGAAGTTATTTCCACAAAGTAATCAACTTTTGAATTGAAAGTCAGCAGGAATAAGTGTGAAAAAGTCAGAGATAAAAGAAGAAGCACTGCGCTAAACACAAACTTTTCTAAAATAATAAACGAAACGGAACGATGGAGTTATATCCTAACGCAAAAGTGTTACATCAAATAAAACATCAACTTAAATCGGATTACTGTTGGAATTTCCGTTCCAATCTGATAATTCTGAATAATATTTTCCTCAAACTGAAGTTAATTTGCTTGATTTAATATTTATAAAAAAGTAACAAAGTAATCTAATAAATTACTGCATTCTGAATAGAAAATTGTAGCAAAACACTAGTAAAATAGTTCCCAATAAATTGAAAAACATTCGAATTAGTTTGTTGTGACAGACAGGTGAGAGAAAGGGAAAACTGGACAGATAAACAGAAAGGGAAACAGGGGTAGAATTACGAAAATTTGGACAACAAATCGGGAAAAGAAAGTATAATGGGTAAATATAAATTTAAAATAAATGATTCTCCGGGGCAAGTCAGGGTCAATCAATCGATCAATTGTTCAATAAAATTAGGTTTAATTTTTGTAGTTAAATTTTTGTTTTGTATTTTTTTAGTTTTTTTATATCTTTTACCTTTCTCGGTGCTTGCAGTAAGTGTAGAGTTTTTGGTTTTGGTTTTGTTTTCTTTTATCTTTTGCTGTTTTTTTTGGAGATGCGACCAATTCTTTTCGATATAAGTATGTATGCTATATACTTCTATATATATTTATACTGATATAACGACAGCTCTGGGCGGCATATACAAACGATATATACGCAGGGGGTTAGGGTGGATGCCCAGCAAAGTGAAAACGAGTCAACAAAATAGTAAAACAGTAAAATAGTAGAATAGTAAAATAGGGGTAAATGCAGCGCAAATAATAGCGGAAAGTGAAAGTCCAGCAACTTAAAATGCCAACTCAACAAATCCAACCGCATGCATGCAAAGTGGTTTTTTAGAGGGGGTTAATGCGCAGATAAATCCGGGGAAAAAGGGAAAATAAAGTGGGCAAAACTAAAAGAGAAATAAACACACCGCCCCGGTAAGTCCGAAGATTCTGATTATAAATGGGAAAATTATGAAAGCTTTTCTCTGTTTACTGTATTGGCAAGACTTAATCTGCAGCAAAGTGATTTTTAATTGGATTTCGTCAAGATTTTTGGAAAGAAAAACAAAAGAGAAAGTGTACAGGTGATTTTCGAAAAGGTTATAAGTATTTCATGTACATGTTTTAGTTTTTTTGAGTTAAAGAAAAAAAAATTAAATTTTTTATAATGATTTTTTTAATAATTGACTGCCAAAATAGTTAAAGCATTACAGTCGGACCGTACTGTATGGCTAAGATTTAATTTGGTTACTATTTATATTAACTAAATATAAAATTAAAAATTTTAAAAAAAATGTCAAACTTATTTTGGATTTTAAAAGCCTCTTAAAATTGTTCGAAAATATTTATAGGCACACAAAATACAAACAGTGACTGATATATTTCATCCTATGCCGCCTGTCCGTTTGGCGGAGCTTTCACTGTATTTTTCATGAGATGTCAAGGACAGTGGAAGGCAATTACAATGGCGAGGTTGTGAAAATAGTGGGGAAAGTGGAAAATGGCAAAGTTTTGAGTGGGTGAGAGCGTTGCTTTCTCTAAATGGGTGTGCATCATTTGGTTTGCTTGTCCTTCAATTAAACGGGCGTGGCACTAACTAACTAACTAACATCCCTACCACCCCCTTTTTTTTCTTTTTTTTGCCAGGGAAAGCGGGAAAATAATAATAAATAGTAAATGCAGCAGCGGCAGAAGAAGTAAAAGTAAAAGCGGCAGCCAAAAAAGTTTTTGCAGTGCAGGGGAAGGGGGAGGTGGAAAATGGTTGGGTGGAAAATGAGATTGAAGGATGTGTTGTGGAGCAGCTGGGAAGGGCGGAAAAACTTTTATTCGCCCACGCAGGACAAAAGTAAAAACAACAAGAACAAGACAAAGATACTTCACACATTTCTCTCCGACATATAAAGCTCTCTACAGACATATAGTATATATATGTAAATATACATATATATATACTATATACTATATATGTTATGTATTTATATCGATTTTGTAGTTAATTAGCCAAAGCATTAAGCGGATGAGGGGCTTTTTGGGACATGGGGTTATTATGGGATTACAGCAAATGATAAATCATACGAAATGAGCTACGGAAAATGTGATAGAAACAGAAAGAAAACCAAGAAAAGGTCAAGAAATCAAATGGAAATTGTTTACAATAAAGCGAGATGAGAAATGAAAACAAAATCAAAAACATAAACAAACAGCTGTTAACGGTTACAAGTACAGTTAAGAATAACACAAATTACGATTACAACAACATTAACTAAGCCAAACAACAACAACAGTAACAACAATAACAATAACAACAGGTGGCTTCAGCAATCACTTAAAGAAAATTAAAACATTTTTCTTTCATTTATTTGTAGAATTACAAAGACTGTAAATTTATAAGCTTTTAATTAAATCGTATTAATGTTTATCCGCAGGAACTATTAAAAGGAAAACCATCCAATACATTGATAAAACAAACACTTTTAATTTATAAATTTAATCATTACAATAGGTACTTCATTTTAAAGAATTTCTTTCGGATGGAAATAATTAAAACATTTTACTCGATGATATATATTTGATGTCAACACTTTTTAATTTGTATTGCTGGCCAACCACCTGTGGCATACTATTCAGGGATATTAGATACAATAGATATAGGATACATAGATATATTTAATAGGAATCTGAGTTTCGCATAGCAACTGCTTCGCTTTTCTCGGTGATATTGCAAAATCTTGTTGTTTACCCACCTTACTGTAAAGCGTTGTGCTGCCCGACCGTTGATTATAACCATTGCCCTCGGCCATATATGTCTTTACCTGAATTCCGCGCTTCTCGCGACTCGCGTCGTAGTAGGAGCGTGGTGAGTACTGCACCGCAGTGCCGCGCATACCGCCACCGCCTCCGCCCACGCCTCCCCCGCCGCCCGCTGCGGCTGCAGCGGTCCCATTGCCGCCGGCCCCGCCCCCGGCGCCCGTCTGCTGGCCGCTCCGGTCGTTGCAAATGGTGCTGATCGCCTGGTTCTGCACTTGCGACCGCCGCGAGGCGTACTTTTTCGGGTTCAGTAAGCTGCAAGCACAAATGTCAGGTTAATAAAATAAGAGCTAAATTCGAACGTATAGTACCCAAAAGTCCCAAAATATTCAAAAAGCATTCATGTTAGCTTTCGAATTTAAAAATAAATATCAGGGGCATTACGTTTATTTTTTTTTACATATAACTGACAAACAGTCGTTCTTTGAGATGTTTAAAAACAAATTAAAAAAAAATGTTTTGAGAATTGTACATAAGAAGATATCGTAAACATGATAATGATATTAATTCTTATCGACAAAAATTTTGCTGCTTACTATTTCCTTAAGTTATGGTTATTTTGTGAGGAAGTTATGACACATACAGAATATAACAAAAACTTTGAGAATTGTACATAGCCATGTTCCTCACATAATTTATAAAAACAAGTGAGTCACTGATATGTTTATAGTACTATAAGGCAAGAGATAAATACTTTTAAATAAAATTGTGGTCAAATTGTGATATGCCTTTTATGTGTCATTTGTATTAAGCACTTTTAAGTGCTTTTTTTGAGGTTGTTAGAAAGGGAAACCAAACCACTTTCGAGCAGAAAGTGCGTCACATTTCCTTTCTATATATAATAATTTCAACAATTTACATCCCTAAGGGATTGAAACTCAAGATATAATTGGCTATCGAACTCGGAAGTTTACAATCTACAATACTATTATTTCAATTTGCAGTCAAATTACTTCCCCGAGGACACGTAATTTGAAGCCAATAATTGGCAGTCCAATTTGGATATTTATTGTTGTAATTTCCCCACTTCCACCGAATGGAAAATTCGGTTGGTCCTTGGTTCTTGGTCCTCGGTATTTTTGAATGAACTGACTCACCTGGGGTATTGTGGTCCGAACTGTGTGTAGCAGCAATTGTGCCAGCAGCCGCGCGAGAACGGATTGTAGCCGCCCTTGAACTTTCCGGTGACCTGTTCGTTGGTCGTGCGACCCCGCGACACCAGCACCATGTGGAAGCCGGTGAGACCGAAGATGGGGATGGCCAGAATGGTCACCAGGCTCATCAGGATCATGCTGTGTATGAAGCGAGTTAAGAGTTAAGCCAAACCAATGGGCGCAATTTAAATATGCCTGCAGATCTTAAATTTCATAAGTATTTAACCCGAACTGTGACACTTTGTTTCGCATTTCTATTCATAACTATATATTACCATAAATAGGATAGATAAAAACATTTTCAAAAAATTCTATTTAAATAATTTAAAGCAAATTGAATAAAAAATGCCCAATGTTACACACCATATGCCTCAAAAATATTAAAACAAAAAATTGACAATAAAATTCCATTTCTAAACAAATCTACTTAATAGGATTAAAAAAAAAAAACAAAATCAAATTACTCCAAATAATTCCCTTTTAAATCTATTTCCACTGACTGAGTTTTTAAATAAATCCATTTAAAGCAATATTAAAAAAACTAAACCCAATTTAATTAAATATTTACTTTCAAATGTTTATAAATCTATTTTTGGTGACTCTGGGAATCAAATAAATGTGTTCAAAAATAATATGACAATGATTTTGCCTTTTTAAACAAATTAAAAAAAAATTAATCAAATATATATATCCCTATAAATCTGTAAAGAGTGACTTCGGGAATTGAAGAAATTTTAAAAAATAAATTTTCAATCCGAACTCTATTCAGAGGAATATTAAAAATTATTTATCTTTTAAGGAAGTGGTGTTTTTGGAAATCAAATAAATTGTTTTTATGAATATTTTGAAAAGCTGTTGGTTTTTTTTTGTGATTGCAAAAGGATACGCGACAATGGGCGCCGTGTCCTTGATGTTGGGCATTATCTTCAGCACGTAGACCAGGCACAGCGAGAAAATGCTGAGCATGTGAATGGACAGTGAGACGAGGAAGAAGAAAAAGAACCTGTAGTTCCGCCTGCCGATGCAGTTGTTGACCCACGGACAGTGGTGATCGAAGGTCTGGGAATGGTCAGTAAAATGATATATATTATACGAGAAGACAAAATATGTATAATAGATGGAAAACCGACCTCTATGCAGTGATTGCAGACGGAACAGTGGGAGCAGCGTGGCGGGCGGTAGAACTTACAGGTGACGCACCATTTCATCTTGACGGTGATGCCGTTGATCTCGGCATTCTTGTAGAGCGGGGCGCGCAGCTCCTCCTCGCAGTCTTCGTCGGGCGAGGCTAGAATGCAGTCAAGTTTAGGCCGTGACGACTGGCGCTGGCCCCTGCTCAGCACGCTACATACCTTTGGGGATGATGCCCGGGTCCATGAAGGTGGCCAGCGTGAAGTTGGCCAGCACGAAGAATGTGATCACGCCCTGGTAGGCCAGCACCCATGGATGGCTCTTCACGTAGTACTGGCAGCTGTAAGTGGTAGATGAACAGGGATTTTAATACAGGATTTTAATACAATATATATAAACAACTAATTTATAACATACTAAATAACCTATTAAATGTGTATTTCATGTGGGGAAAAGTTTAAGTTATTTGTCTTATCTTTTATCTTATAAAAAAGAGATAACCATTAACCAATAGTCAAAAATAATTTATAACCTTTATAGTATTTTATAGTAATTGGGAATAAGATAGGGATCAAGATAAGATAACAATAAATCATAGGATTAATGTCTTATTAATAAACAAAACATGTTAAATAACTATATTTAAATAAAAGCTTAAATTACCATTTATAATTTAACAAATTTAAAATGCCTCGAAAGCTTTTGCATGTGAAATTAAATTGGGGCCGAGCTTGAAAGCCACTCAAATGGCCAAGAACAAGATATTGGCCCTTTTTGTGTCGTCCAGTCTAATTGCCATAAAGTAATACGGCTACCATATGATTAGTGTTCGTCTAGTTTTGAGCCCTGATTAAAACCGCTTACCGAACAGGTTTTGAAGTGGAAGTAGTGCACACAACCGGCTCAAAGTGGCTCCAAAAAGCCACCATTCCTTGCATAACGATGATGGGCTGGATTAAAACTCACAACCGAAGAACTGTGACTACAAATTTGATAGCTTTGCAATCAGCCTTTTGGGGAGGTTGTTGCTGGTTGGTGGTTACATTTTTCATGGATGTCTAGCTGTGTGTGTGTGTGGTGCTCTTTGAGTAGGCCGAAAGTCGGTCGAACATCCGTCGACCACATTGTTGACCATTAGGTGGCCAGGATACTCGTACATTTGGAAAACAGAACGCAAGGACAACAGGAGACAACGGGAGAGCCCAATCCCAAGGCTATCCCTAGGTTATCCAACGAAGCCCGCCCGTTGTGTCGCCGCAATCACTTTAGAGTCTACTGAACCGGAACTGTTTTGTCGGTTGAAGCCCCCCTTCTTTTAACTGTCCATTCCACAGAACTCGACCCGCATCGGATTCAAAACGAACCGGAACAGAACCTTAACCCTTTTGGTCCCTGCAAAAAAATCCTAAAAAGCCCGAATATTTCATTTCAATAAGATTTGTTGTAGTATTCATCACAGACTGTAATTATAAAAAATATGTAGTTCATGTTTTGCTCTATACCAATGAGTACATATGTACATACAAATGAGTACATACATACATACAGTCAAAATAATAGTAGTTTTGGAAATAGCCATAAAAAATAGTTCGAAACCAATATTTAAACATATTTGAATTTAATTCTTGAAGCTTATACATACATTTGCGGGCAAAATAATAGAATTTTTATAGCCTATGAAATTAGCAATCCAAAATAGTTTGAAGCCAATTTTGAAATTTTTTTTAAATTGTTTTCGTGAAGCTAATAATACTTAATGGAGCAAACATAAACATGAACAAGCAAGACTGACAAAATAGTATATTAAAAAGTAAATTTTAGGGAATTATTAATAGTTTTCATAATTTGAAAAATATAAAACAAACCTAATTTGTTGTTTTTTTTATCTTTGTTCACAAAATATTACATTTTAATGTAACTATATAGTTATTCCACACCTATAATTTTCCTTTAACCTTTCTAACTTTGTCAATATCAATGGTTTATTGTTGTCACCACCGTTTTCGTTTACACAGTAGTAGTGCTTAAGGGGTTAAGTCAACCAACCACAAGCCATAGCCATGAATGTTGAATGTTGCAATGTTGCAAGGGCGATGGCGATACACACGTGTCCTCTACTGGCCCATTTCCATTTCCGTCTGTCTTCGCCTTTGCAACTTTGCCGCTTTCCCACTTTTCCCACGTTTCCCGCCTTTCCTCTCCACTCCCTCTGATGCATTTGCAATGATGTGGATGTGCGGAACTTTCTGCTGGTTTCGGTTTACGGGCTTACGGGCTATCGGGGTTCTGTTTACGGGTTACTTAGGGTGAATGTATTACTTTCTTCCGGCATTTCTCACTGCATTACGCCACTGCTCTCCCCGCCTTCCGGCTCCCTTTTCGCCCAAACCCAGATTGATGAAGGCAGACCGCCGATGAATTCTAATGGATAAACTCATCCTTAATGCAACCACCATCGTCATTTGCCAGCTCATCATCAATCTGCACGTTATTTCTCTTTTTCTGCCATTTTCCACAGTGCATTTGTCACTACAGTGGTCACTGGGCAGGTGGGATTATGCCCCCACTTAGTTTTTGTCATAGTAAAATAGATTTGATTTAAATAAATAATTTAAAACTATAAAATTAATGCTAGAATGAAGCCAAAAAAATAACTGAAAGTTTGGTTTAAATAAGTGTGTTTTATAAATCGATTACGATGCCTCATATAGCCTCAAACCCAAGAACTTTAAACTTGCCCCACGACCACTGTGCTGTTGTAGCTCTAAAACTCTACTCCCATTATCATCATCTCCACACTTTGCCTCCCATTGCTGCCATCAACTTCAACTTGATCATCATCGGGCGCAGTCCTTCGCTGCATTATAATTGACAGAATGACCTCAGACTGTCAGTTTTCCGTTTCCGTTTCCATTTTCTTTTATTTTTCCACTGCCCGAAGCAGAAGGTTTTCCGGGCTGAGGAAAGAAAGCAGCGCAGTGAAGTCCAGATTTTCAATTTTCGCACCTTCACTATCTGTATCTGAATCTGTATATGTATAGTATCTGTATATGCATAGTATCTGTAAATGTAGCTAAATCTGTATTTGAATCTGGGATTGTGTCCGCCTGCTTCTGGTTTTGATTTATTTCGGCTCTCTTATCGCATTTGTTTCAACGCTTACAACGCTTGTAACAAAACAAAGAGCTCTATCGCATCCACTGTCAACTGGAATCTGGCATTTGCATACAATTTTTAGGAATGCAAATAAAACCGGAATGGAGCGAGTCTCAGCACGTGCCAGGGATTTATGTTAATCGCTTTGAGACAAAGAAAATAGGGAATCCGGGGATACGACCTCGAAATAGGGAGACAAAAAATGGATAAAAGAATATAAGAATAAAAGCTAAGCGAAGCAAAGATGGCGAAACCTCAAGAATTAACGAGAGCTGCGAGGGTAATTAATTAAACTGATATCTATTATGAAGTGCGCCAGCCACACTTTATTAATTAACTCCTCGCCCATGCAGTTTAAGGAATTTCAACCCCACTTTTTATTTAATCAGTATCAAATGCAAGTGGAAATTTAAACGATATTATGCAGCAGCTTTCCTCATTTAAAGTAATTTATTAACTTATTTTTAAGACCATGTTTCGGAATTTGTTTTCTAAAATCAAGGCATTTTGTTTTCTGATTTAATGGCCAAAGAATGTAAATCTATTTAACAGATTTGATTTATTTCTTAAAACTGAACAAAGACGAACTATTTATTTATTTACAGCAATAGGAGGCACAAACATAGATAGCAACTGTCCAAACAAAACTTGGATTGCACAATTCCCATTAAGGCTGTCGAGCAATAAACCCAAAATTGGATATGGCAATTGGCCAATGTTAATGATCGCTGTGCATTACGCGTATGTGCAGGCATCTGAATCTAATCGACTCGCATCGAATATCAAAATGACAGGCCACCTTCCACCTGCCAGCACCCCATCTTTAATATATATATAAATATATATATATATGATATATAGTAAATCCGCCTAGCATCGTGATTGGCATTGCTAATTGCGTACGGCTCCATTATCTAAAATATAATATAAAATTATTGAATAGAAACTATTAAATATAAAAAGAACGAAATATAGTAGAGAGTAAAAATGCGGTCATTTAAATTCTCAAACTTAAAATTCATAATTTAAACACACAAAAGTAGTAGAGAATAAAAGCGATCTCTTATCTCCCAGCTGATGCCCTATTATAAGTCAGGTGTATAGCTCTATAAACCTAAACCACACATACATAGTACACCTATATATACTATATATATATATTACACTTGTTTGCTTTACTTTTCAATTTAGCAAAAATGTTTGCCAAGTCCCGGGAGGGAAATCTGTTTACATTTATGCAAAGTCAGGCCGAAAAGAGGGTGGCAAAAATCGAGTAGAAAGAGTTTTTGGTCCAGAAATGACAAAAAAAAAAATAATACAGAAAAATACAGAAAAGAAGAAAGGAATGTAATGTAGCACAGAGAAAGGCAGGCGGCTCAAGGATTTGCCGCTGTCTTATGACAAATAATTCATTTCATTTTCCAGAAAGGAGGGCGAACTGGGACAAACTAGCAAATCAAATTAGTGACAAGACCGCAGCAGGGACAATAAACACACACACATATACACAATACAGTGTAATGAGCCTAGAGCCTCCCACAGAGCCACTGAAACCAGCACCCAACCCCACAAGCCAGCCCATACAGGATGTGTTTGACTTCAATTAATGATTTGCCCCATCAAATTGAAACAAATTGCCAAGGAAAACAAATAAACAGTGCTTTGCATTGATTGAAATATAATTTCAGCTAGGCGGTCGGCTCTTGAGCGCTTTTGGTTGGGGAAATAAGTCTTGGGTGGATATAATAGCTTTATAGGGCAGTGAATGACTGTATTGACCAGAGGGTAAACCACTAGATACATATATTGCATTTTAAATGCAAAACCAAGAATTTAATATCATTTGTCAATCATTATGGACTGCTGTGGCTATTTAGGGCTTAATAATTTTAAAACGAACTAACCGACATTCTCAAAAATTTCAAGTAATTTGCAAATTACACTCAACAAAAACTTTTCATAAAAACTAAACTATTGTTACAAGAATTTTAAACTATTTTGTATAAAAATGAAACTAAAAAGTAAAGGGGTTATATTATTTAGTATTGAATTAATATTTATACTTTAATTTTGGATGCAGTTTATTATCAAAACACACTTATTAAAACTAAGCTTACATTTTTTTTTTAAAATTCTTTTTTTAATAATCATTATGAACATGAACTTTGCGTTTGAGCTTAATTT